CCCCCCAAATCTACGCCTTTTCGTCAATTATTTTTTATGAACAGCAGTGAGTTGGGAATGTCATCCTTGCAGCATACAAGTACATCACTTTATGAAAGCTTTTCCCATCTGACCCATTAATTACTGTGATTTGAGCTGCAAGTTGCACACATGCTCTCTCTTCGATATTTGCAGCTTGCTTAATCTGTTGAACAGTACAAAACAGATGAAAGAGTAGATCAGCACAGTGCTGAAGTGTACTGTACTGCACCCCAGACACAATACTGTAGTCTTGAGTCTTTAACTGTAACCTGCTCTGCGCAAGGATGGGCCTAGAGATGTGAGAGGACCCAATGCCAAATACGTCAGGAAACACTTCATGCGCTGTCACAGGGTCATACAATATCATGTATATATGAACTATAGGCTAGCTTTGAAGAGACAGTAATAATGGCAATTTGCTGTGTGATGACCTATTGATGTGTGTCATAAAAGTAGGCATACAGTACAATGGTAATGCCTCTCTCTTGCATATAGTTAATACACATATACATGTAATGCCTAAAACTTGATGATTTGCATTACTCAATGGTTGCTCTTGAAGACATAGAAGGTATAAATAACTATTCTTTTTTCCTACAGAAATAGTAGCGTTTCGGCTAGATCTTATAGTTGATAGGTTTCTTTTAAAAGCAAAGAAGAAAAACATCAGGGATTTTGTTCTCTTTCGGAGTAACTGTGTTTGGTTTTAGCGGATTTCACTGCATATTGTATTCATAAAAAGCTATAGATGTTCAACTTGACACTGTGATGAAATAGAAAATGGTTAATATATCCCTAATGATCCTTTTGCACTTTATAAATATCAAAGTTGTAGGCTACCACCCTTTTGCCTCTTGGGTAGAATTCGGTGTTGTCAGGTCATTTTATGTCATTTTCAATAGTACAATTAGTACTTTTGATTTTGTGTGCCAGCCAGGCAAGTTTATTTTTGGTTTTGAATAAATTTCAATTAGGAATAATTTATGTTTGTATCTGTATGTATGGGTGTGTGAGTGTGCGTGTGTGCGCGCGCGCACACGCGCGCGCGCATGTGTATGTGTATGTGTGTGTGTGTTTTTATGTGTGTGTGTGTGTGTGTGTGTGTGCGTGTGTCTATTAATTACGTATGTGTTACTGGGAGAGAGGGAGAAACACAGAAAACAGGGAGAAACAAACAGACTGAGAGAGACTACTTTTTAAATGCTTTATTTTGGAAAGCCAATGTGAACACATGCAAAACCCTACCTTGGAAGGCTTCACACCTTTTGTCCGATTGTTTTTCCAGTGTAAGTATTTTTTTTTCGATCTACCCCAACTTTCTTTCAATGTTTCTATCATCCAGCTGGGAAAGTGTTAGTAATTTTTGTGCGGACCTTCCTATGATTAGTTTAGAGATCAGCATTTTACTTTTAGGTGGACCTAACGTCCGCTGAGACGGGAGCAGCCGTGTGTATCCAGAGACACTTCAGGGGACACCAAGGGAGGAAAGTCTATGTGGAGAAATTGTATACCAAGTATGAAGAGGTTAGTTCCTTGAGTGTGTGTGCAGCTTGCCATCATTTATTTTGTCGACCAGATGTTTATTTACTAAGCCCAAAATATTGGAATTTTCCCCACCTAGTCATCCACCTATTTTATCAACCTACTTGTCTTTTAAGCTGCCTATCCAGCTGCCCAGTATGCCCCCCCCC